GTATTGTAAAATAATATAAAAAAATTTTTTATCAATTGTGTAACAATTTTGTGACGTTTCAACGTTTCCCCCTGTTACAGTACCTAGGATGCAGAAATTTTCAAAGATCGTCGAAATAAAGATTAAATTGAGCAACTACTTGAGTAAGAGACCATTCTAGACCTTTTAATATCTCCAAACTATAACAGTAAACAAGGATACTAAATTTTCTATGATAATATTGCGTCAGAATTTAAGTATTATACATTACAATATAACGATAAATGTATTGCATAAAATTTGCATAATTGAGAGTAAATATCATCGAATAGTAATAATGATATGAATAGTAATGATGATATAAATAGTTAAAATCTGTATAGATAAATAGTAATGACGATCAATTATGCATATTTCCGATAGAATAACCCTACGTTTATGCCGTCTCAAAGGAATAACAATGAAGATCAGGCTGATGCCAAGAATTAATTTTGACACACAAATTTTATTAATAATAATTACGTCATTTTAGAAACACAAGAGTCTTAAAATCGTAGTCAAAGCACAAGAGTCTTAAAATCGTAGTCAAAAGAAGATAATTAAAAAAAAAGGTAAGAAATGATTTTAATATATAATCACTTAAAATTAATAATATGTTAAATTATTCCATTATCTTTTTTCTTTTGCCATATTTGACTAATAAAATCCTTGAAATAAATGTGAAATACAGAAATAAAAGAAAAAATATAAATATATGTACAAATATATAATTACGTACGATAGAAAATTAAATTTTGATCTATGCACGAGTTCTTTTTTTTTTCTGATATTAGAAATTTGATAGACGAGCGCTAAACGGTGATCTTTATTATAATTTAAAACAATTAGCTTGAAGCAATTTTTAAACATCTTGTTCAGTAACTTGTTACTATATTTTGAAAATTTTCGAACACAAAAATCGTCATCAGTTGATATCATTTCTAAATTCGGTTGTTAATGATAAATTATCACAGTTATGACGCAAAGATCGATCAAATAAATTGAGATACACGTATTATATGAAATCATGTAATGTTGATATGCGTTATGATGAATTCATTACTATTTTGAGAAACAATTAGTTAGATAAATTATTATAAATAGTGTACGCTTTTCGTCAGAAATTAAAAAAGCCACATTTGACTAAAGTATTTACGTACTAGAGATTTTACTATTTTATTATTACTTTGTCCATAAAATCTCCTAATCATTCATCCAGAACCTTGTTTTAATAAACAATTCTGTTTTGGTTTTCTGAAAAGAAGATGGACACTAGCCAACACCTAAACTCATCAATAAATGAACCTACCGAATCCATGATAGAAGCCGCCAAAAACGACTACGCTAATCGGCTTTACGTGCACACTCAACAACAACTTATACGCGCGAAATCGAAGCATCATCAAAAGCCTAAGAGAAGAGAAAAAAATCCAATTAATGTGAGCACTTCAAGTTTTATCACTCAACCAAGTACATTAATGATCCAATGTCAAAATGCTCATAAACAAAATAATAAATCTGGTCGATGATTATAAAGATTTTTGCAAAAGTGGTATGTTGTTCGCCAAAATTGAGAAAATCGGAGGTGGAGGACATTGAAAAAAATGGTGGGTTATTTTCTTCAGAATTTAATAATTGATATTTACTATTTTCATACTTCTTTGAATGATTCATTCATTCATTCATTAGGACGATCGTGACACGTCAACCTTTGAGAGGTGTTAAAGTTATAATAGTATTTAGTATATATCAATTGTAGATATGCAAACAAAAAAAAAAGGGAAATATATATATTAAGTTTGTTGAATCAGCATCAATAATATATTCTCCTGTCATTTACTGGTTTATTATGCATTTTTTTTCTCTTTAAGAAAATTGATAAAGTTTTTATATTTCCGAATATTCGTGCACCACGATGAATTGACAATCAGGATGCACACCTTTTATTGTAATAAAATTTCATTTACACGCAATAATTATAAAGTTTACACAACGATGTTTTTCAATCTCTGGAATACCACTTGTCGAACGAGAAAGTAAGCCTCATGCTGAAACCGTTCATTTATTTGGATGAATGCAATCTGCAAAGATGTATTGTTTATATTTCTATCATTTCATTTTTCACTCTTTATTCGATTATACGTATATGTATGTATGTATCTAATTAACAATATCAGATATCTGACGTCAGAAATTTCTGTTACACAATAACTTTAGTACTTTATAGGGATTAGACAGCTGTGCAATTTTTGCTGTAAGTTCTTATTACCAGAACTTTTGTCAGAAGGTTTTCCCAAATCTTTAGGTTTGCTATTTATTATTTAATATATTCAAGTGGTCCATGCTCTAATAATATTGTTTAAAAAAGGTTTGGGTTAAAATCCAGACCGAGTCCTGACAAACAAAATCCTGACAAAAATTGACTGGAATTATAGCCAATGCTAACCTAGTGCAGGCTAACTTGTCGAGATTTTGACCTTGCCAAGACTTTTTTTGTCGGGATGTTGGGTTCAAAAATATAAGATTACAGGCATTACATGTTCATCAGGAATTTAGATAACGGTACTCTCTAGCTGTGTGATATTGCAGTCCATGTCGTACATACGTATGCACGCATGTACGCACGCTTACGCGTACACCTCATTTATATCTGATATCTAAAAGGTAAAACAGATAGCGAACATGCCTAATACGCACGTACGTTTAATGCACACCGGATGACTGATAAGGTACGTACGTACATACGTACAATAGGCTGATTTTGTACATTATCTATGGATGAAAAAAAAGCTTTTTATTGATTTAAAATCAAAAATTTTGCCTTTTCGTGTAACTCGAGTTTTTTGGACTAGGCAATAATGCTGGTCATCTATATGACACGTACAGTGTGATTCCGGAAGTTCGGGTTACACGAAAGGCACATCACTGACCTACTACACGTCACTCTGATTATATCGAGACATTAATAAAAAAATTCAAAATGTCGGTACAATGAGTTATACCGATATTTTATATTAAATTTTTGAAAAAAATTGTCGGTATAGAAGGATTTTACTATGATGTCGTTATATCCAGATGCCGGTATAACCAGAGTGACGTGTATCCAGTGTATTTATGCAAGGTTTAAACCTGATTTAAATTAATAAAAAAAAAACATTTTTTTACATATCGATAAGAGTGCTCTCAAGCATCCTCTCGACGTGGTTGGCTAGTTATCGATATCGTACACAAGTACTACGATTAATTGAAGTAATCCTTATAGTAATTTGGAAGATTATAGCGGGTATTAAAATTTTAGCCAATCAGCACAATTCTGATAAAAAAAGGTGGTTGTTCATCGCGATAATGAACTTGGCCGGCCAAATTATTTTCCACTGATTAAAAATTGAGTCCCGACCTATTAATTTAAGTGTTAATAAATTCTAGGTTTGGATTAGTCGTAAAATACTTTATTCAGATTATAGCCTAACTTCAACCTAAACATTTCATAACTACAAAACAGACTAACAGCATGGTGCAAATTACATACATTACAAAAATTTATAGATCCTCTCAAATTTCAACGATCATAACAGTATTATTGGATGTAAGTACATTTTATTCAAGTTATTACAGCTTATAAGTTAGCTTATATTAGACTTTCTAATATTATCTCTTGAGGTATAAATGATAACGTACAAACATGCCTATCTTTATTATAGTTGTTTTCATAGCTGCTTCCAAAAAAGTGCGAACAGTCGAAGATTAATATATCATGTAATGTTACATATATTTCCTGAGCTTTCAAGACCCGTTCTAATCGAATTTTTATAGTTGTTTTCAAAAGGAAGTGAAAGTTGTAGATCAGTATACCCAGATTTCCCGAGTTTTCAAGACCCATTCTAATCGGAACTTTTACAGATTGGTGAGAGTTAAATTTCCGATTGGAGCGGGCCTTGAAACCCTGAAATATCATGAATTTCATAATATGGTGATCTGCGACCGTTATAATCTACAAAATTGTGGTGGCTCATGCTGAGATCTGGAGTCTCTATTTATAAATCTATAAAAAATTGGAGATTGTGCCCAAGGATTACCGGGGTGATCGGTATAAGCACTCTTAATCGGATAGCAATTTTGCTAACCGGTTAACCCGGATAACAAAATTTCAGAACAGCTTGGTTGGTTACAGGTCACGTTGTCTGTTAATTTCTATTAATCTGATTGGTTGAATTCATGCGATTCAAAATTTCGAGAACTTTTTGAAAGGCGAAATTTTTGTCAGTAATTTAAAAATCATGTAATGTGGCCCGAATTATGAAATTCAATTCTTATCGATCAAATCCAAATTTTTTTTACGTTATCCAAAATAAAATTGGCATCCCTGACCAATTTTATTGTTATAATCGGGTCAACCGAGTTAACCGAGTTACTCGGATCATTTGAGATAAACCGGGTTGTTACCTAGTTTTAAAATTTCATAATTCTCAGCATAAGCAGTCAAAAAAATCACTAGATTTTTCATTTATAAAAGCAGCTGTAAAAGTATTTTTTTTGAGTGGGTTAATAAAAATGAATCAGGTGGGTCAAAAATGGGTTTGCCTAATAATTTAGGTATCTACGGCTGTTTTTAAGAACGACCTATTATAACTGTTTTCAAAAAGTGTAGCCTGACAGGTTGATGTGCGTCGAGTCACGCTACTAATCAACAGCCAATATCAAAAAAATACACTCTACCAACCTTAATAATGGAAGGCTATGATCGCGGAGTGGAAGATTTGGCCCGAATAATCAGGGTCTTTGGGTCAAAACATTAGATTACGTCACAAGGCTCTAATACTTTATACGATTTAGGCCATTTGCAGTTAGTTCTTCGGTTAACCTCATATTCTAGGACTCTTTGGGGAGAGGGAGAATTGAAGCAAAAATATAAAATGAACAACATATTTTTGGAGCAGTAAATCTACTATAACCAATTAACTTTCAGTTATAGTTTAGTCTAGAGATTCTAGCTGAGTTGCTCGTAGTTAATTATCTAGTTAAATTTATTTTTTTGCTTGAACGAGAGCGAGAGAGAATGCACATTTTCGCAAAGTATGTGGGCCAATTTTATTGCGATTATTGCCATTTGCTCCCTATTTTCTGATTCTCACGTATTGTTCTTACCTGTGATGACGTTTTGAGACGCTCTTGTTTCCAATCACGTGATATTTTATCACTTCGCCAAAAATCATACCAATACACAAAGTAACAAATTAAATTTATATACTATTTTATTTTACTTTTGATTTTTTCTTTATATAGGAATGCCTATAGCAAAAGAAGTGGATAGGACTATATCAGGTGTTCCAAAAGTCACTAAACAGTCTGTTTTTTTGAAGTGATCTTATATAGAGATCACATACGATCTCTATATAAAAATCACCTAAAAAAACAGGGGCTATTGAGTGACTTTGGAACACCTGGTATATTATACCGGGTTGGTGAAAAGTAGCTGGACAGTGACATTTTTTTAATCATTGCAATAAATTAAAATTTTTAATTTATTGCAATGATTACTAAACGTTAAAATGATAATCACAGTGATTAAAAAAAAGGCCACTTTCATCCCCTTCTACCATTTTAGCTTCGACCCTGGGACCCGTAAAATTTTAGATCTAAAATTTTCACAAAAAATCTAAAATTTCAAGTGTCAACTCAAATTTTCTAAAAT